ACTGTTTTCTGTGACATCCGATTTGAGTTAGGTTGGTTTGGCAAATTTAATTTGAAAAAATTTATTTTGAAAAAAACGGTTAAATTGGGGAAACACATAGGGCATTTCGTGAGTTTTATGGTGCTCATAATCGTCTTTCTAACCGATTAATTCAAGACACTATGAATCGTTTTTGCAATTCCTTTACCCTAAACAATAATACGCATCCCGTAAGACGTGGTACACACGCGATATATTTTTAAAAAACGATTGTTGTGACAATAACTGATAAGTTTACAAACTTTGTATGCAATTGAAAATGTATTCTGTAGGTAAGTACATACCCTTAATCATAAAATGTACACACTGTATTTACACGTATAACCTATAAAAATCTTATTCTGTTATAACAGTTAAATAAGAAAATAAATGCACGCGCCGCACTAATGCGCACCACGGTATTTCATGTGGCTAGTTTTGCTTTTGCATAAAAGAGGGCGCGAAAATACAAATTTTGCAGTTTTCTTTTTCATAAATTCTACAGTTTTCTTTTTTAAAAATTATAGATTTTTTTAAGAAGTGGGTATTATAATAATAATACTATTAAGTATTCAAAATTATAGTATTTTAACGTACTATAATACTTTGCTATAGTACATAGTACACCGACATAAAATTATAGTAGAAATACTATAATTCTAGTACGGTTGGCAACCCTGCTCTGCAGTGTTGCAGTGATTTTTAGCATGAGATAAAACAGACCTTGTTGTGTGGATTGTGGTCCAATCATTGGACTCCAATGGTGAATGGGTATTTTGTTAAAGCCACTGGACGGAAATTTTTCTCTGAGAAAGTCTTACTTTCTCTTAAAAAGTCTGAATAATACTTATCAAGTCGGAAAAAGTCAGAATAAGACTTATTAAGTCAGACTAATAGCAAGATTTGGGAGTCTTCTGGAAGAGTTAATAAGACTTTTTAAGACTTAATAAGACTTTTAGTAGAGAAATGGTAGGTACCTATGGCGATAAAAATAAATATCCGAAATAATTCATAGAGGTTGTATTTGGTTATCGTAAAATAAAACACATAGAAAAGTATATATTAACATTTTTGCTGTTGTTTTAAGCCAAGTTTATTGCATAATTACCTATATAATAACATCTTTTAATTACCTATATAATAACATCTATGTTATTATACCTATAGGTAAGATGTAATAATTATAACAATTATAATTTTATACATACGATGCGCTTGACATGCTTTCATTGTTTCCACCATAGAAATAATGTATAGTTTTAAAAAGCAGGCCCTTTTAGTTTTAGTTTTATTTTTTGTCCTTTCTTTTTTTTCGTTATTCTTATTAAATAAAAACATAACAGTAAAATAATTGAAATTAAAGTGGTGCAATTAATTATCTACTATAATTTATCGACAAATTTAAAATTTTATTTAAAAAATCCAAATATTACAGGTTTTATACCATTTTAAATATTTTTTCATTTTAATAAAATAAATAATAAAAATTTAAAATCGAATAAAATCTGTAATATTTGGATTTTTGAAATAAAATTTTAAATTTGTCGATAAATTATAGTAGATAATAAATTGCACCACATTAATTTGAATTATCTCAAATAGGGGGGCCTGAAGGCGGGTGAGGCGACAGGAAAAACTAACTTTTTTTCGCAAACTTCAATTTAAATTCTGTTTGCGCCGAACTTGTTTATTTAATGTCATTATAAACTATTATAAATTTGGTGTGGGTCCCATGTCAGGAACGCCTAAATGCAGGAATGGGCTCCCTCTTATGCGCATGCCTGTTATCATAACCTATCTTTTTAAGAGTGTTTGTTTATTTTTGTGATAAAGATGGCTGTTTTTTGCTTATTATGCGAGAAGATTTTTTCCAAGCAATCAAATTTAAATAGACACACCATACTCGTACATAAAAAAACTGTGCAATCGGTACCATACGATGAAAGTTGTTGCCTTTTTAAGTGTTTGGAGGGATGCAAATCATCTTTTAAAAAAAATTCGCAATTAAGGGACCATTTACAAGAAAACCATGCCTTCGAAAATAGTATTTATGAAGCCTCTTTTTCAACATATGTAGGTAAATATAAAGTATGCCTCTGTAAAAAGGAAATTCTAAATTCAACTATTTTACAGATTTTATGGTTTGGTTAAAAAATGAAGAAGAAACGTTTAATGTAAGGTATGAAAAAGGTTCTGGTGTAAAGAAATGTAAGGCTTTTGATGGTGAAGGATTGGAAAAAGTATATTGTGGTTGCATGCTGTATAATTTTACAATATCTAGAAAAAAAATTAAAAAGCTAATAATTACTATTTAAAATCTAATGCACTTATCTCCATTTTATTTTTATTTTTTTCTTGTGTAGGTGTCAAGCGGAATACAACTAAAAATAAAGAAAATGACAAACGTAAACGGTGGGAAAAGAGTCAAGGTTCATGTAAGCTTGGTAGATACTGTACCAGCCAGATTATTTTAACAAGAAATGTAAAAAGTGATGCATGCTCTTTAAAGTACTTTAAAACCCACTATGGCCATACAGTTAATCTACAACACTTGCCAATTTCAAAAAGCAAGCGTGAAAATGTAGCATCAAAGCTTTTATTGGGTGTTGCACCTTCACAGTAAGAATTTCTTTTTACATAGTCATAGGTATGTATATAAACTCATTTTTTTGTTTAAGTATCTTGGATTCTACACGTAATAATATTGGTACAGATTTAAAAAGGGATGATCTTTTAACACAAAAAGACATTAATAATATAAAACATTCATTCCATATTCAAATAAATGATGGACATCGGCATAAATGTGACTCCACAAGTGTGAGACTTTGGGTGGAAGAAGTTAAACACTCTGAAAATAATCCCGTTTTGTTTTATAAAAACTATCTTGAAAAATGTAAATGCTATGATGGGCTTAATGATGAAGATTTTTGTATTATTATAATGAATAGCATTTAGTCTGATATTTTGGCTAAGTTTGGAAAAAATATTATTTGTGTAGACAGTACACATGGGCTAAACGCATATGATTTCGAATTGTCAACAATCTTAGTTATTGATGAATATGGTAATGGATTTCCATGTTCATTTATGTTTACTAATCGTAAAGATGCTTTTATAAACGAAATTTTTTTCACCGAAGTTAAAAAAAAATCTGGACTGATAAGTGCTCATGTGTTCATGTCTGATATTACCAATGTAGCCTATAATCCCTGGGAAAAAGTCATGGGAAAACCTGAAAAACGTCTATTGTGTTCCTGGCATGTAGACCAGGCATGGCAAAAAAATTTACAAAAAGTTCGTGAACCAGAAAAACAAAAATGGGTATATCAAACACTAAAGTATTTGCAAGCTCTTATGGATGAAAAACAGTTCGAAACTGAGTTTAATAAATTTTTGGATATGCTCAGAAACGATGAAATTACAATGTTCAATTATTTGTCAGGATATTATACTAAAAATATTAAAGAATGGGCTTACTGTTACAGAAAACAGCTTGGCATAAATACAAATATGCATTTAGAAAGTCTCCATAAAACTATCAAGTATGCTTATTTATCTGGGAAAAAAATTAAACGGTTGGACAAAACATTACATGCACTACAGAAATGCGTTCGAGATAAAATAATTGAACGAATTTTAAAGCTTGTAAAAAATAAAAATCTCCTTTATGAAAGAATTATTAAATCAAGGCATCGATCTGCATTAACCATGAAGTTGGAGGAATATGAAATTAAAAGGGAGGCAGATTCTATGACTGTTTCTCTAGTAAATAAAAAAAAGCAATCTGTTTACTTCATTACCAACAAGCAAATACAGTTATGTTGCAATATGTGTTGCAAATTTTGCAACATTTGCATTCATACATATGAGTGCACATGTACAGACTACCATATGAAGCCAACTATTTGCCAACATATTCATTTTATTTGTATTAATAGCGGCAATCATGAAACATTTGAAGTTTCAGAGTTTGGTGGTAACAACGTAAACGAAGAGGTCAATAGCTTAGTGCAAGAGTTAGCTTCAGAGAAAAAAGTGACTCAGTTAAAAAAAACAATAAAAACGGTAGCATCAAATATTATCTTTAATATGGAAAATAAAAATTATAGTCAGGAAGATTTAGAGCAAATTTTGAAAAATCTAAAGGTATCGGCTTCTATTTGCGCTCTTCCTGCATTAAACTGTGATACAAACTTTGAACAGAATAGGGATACTTTGTGTGAACCAGACAACAAAAAAATAGAAAAACAAACACCTTTTCCGCTAAAAAAGAAGCACTCAAAAAAGGTAAAAAGAGCAAAGCCCGATGACAGTACAAAAAAAATTATAAAAGCTACATTAAATCAAGAAATATATGTTTCAACCAATGTTATAAACGACCATTTGTATTTTACTTAATAAATTGCAAATTCATAGTTTAATTTTGAGTTTTTTTTTAATTCTAGTATGTAATAATAATATTGTTTAACATATTATGTTAAAATTTTAAATAATTAAAATAATAAACAGAATTGAATCTAAAAGGCAAAACAGAAATAACTAAATTTAATTAACTGCAAATTCATAAAGTTTTTTTCATTTTATGTCGTAATAATAAGGTAAGTATTATAAGTTTAATAAAATTAAATTAATAAAATGACCTTCATTCATAAAGTTTTTTTCATTTTATGTCATAATAATAAGGTTAGTATTATAAGTTTTATAAAATTAAATTAATAAAATGACCTTCGAAATAAGGGACAATGCGCATGCGCATAAGAGGGAGCCCATTCCTGCATTTAGGCGTTCCTCCCATGTCTAATAACTGAGATATTGGTATACATAAAATCCACCAGCCGCCACTGTAATACATCCACATTTTAGCCAACCTCCTACGGCGGCCATGTTTTTATTTTGTTTAATTTTAAGGTTATTTATTACCATACCCACAAAGGAAATTTGGAAATATAAAAATAAGGATAATTAAAATGAAAAAAATTAACTGCCATTATTATATTTGTACATGTATAATTTAACAGTTGGTTTATCCTGTTGGAATAAATATTAATTTGATTTTTCAATACAGTAAATTACAGTAAATTACAATTTTTAATACAATATAACAGAAATATCTTCACATTTTCTACTAAAAAAAATGTTGGTATACATAAGAGTAGCTCTAGTTGAACTGATTGGTCTTTCTGAGAGAGACAAGTTTTACGTGTGATGCCATGCTCAAAAATTGTGTTCAAGTATTTACAAAAATTCTAGATACAAAGAAAAAAGTCTAAAAGGTAAAATCTCAAAAAAATATAATACACGGGTGTTCAAAAAACATGCGCCAATGTAGATTCGTCAAGCAAAAAGTTCACATAAACGTAAGTCCGGAAATGCTTGTTTGCCAGATTTTTTTGACATTTGGCAACGTTGTTTATGCTGATAGAAGCTAATTTTGCTTGGATTAGAATTGTCCAGTGGCATTTTTTTTTATGATTAAGACGCTAAAAATACAACTTTTGTCCCTTGAGTTGTTTCGTATTTTTGCTGGTTTTCGACTGGAAAATAAAAACCATATTATGCATGAAAATGTTTTGCACCTTTTTCAGTTAAACAAACCTTGTATTATTTTTTGACGTATATAGTGTTGCCAACCCTACCGAATTTTCGGTAGATCTACCGATTTCTGAAAAATTCTGCCGATCTACCGATAGACATCAATATTCTACCGAAAATCAAAATCTTGCAATAATCCAAAAAAATAACTTTTTTAGATTAAATTGCATAAAAATATTATACTTAGATAATAGGTGTTTTTGCGGTGCTAATCCCGAACTAGTTCGGACATCCTAGGCATGCGCATTTTAATATTTGTCATGCGCACTTTACATTTTGAACCCCAAATTTTAAAAAGCGCATGTCTAGGATGTCCGGAATTAGTTCGGGATTAGCTCCGCGAAAATAACTAATAAGTATGTGATTAAAAATTTTTTTACCGACATCATTTGTACAAAAGGCATACTAAGACGGTATTGCAGATTTCTATTTTTGTGGTAAAACCTTTTTTTACCGACATCATTTGTATCGCAGATTTCCATTATACAATTCTGGCATTGATTAATACTTCTTCACTTAACGATAATAGTATAATCTGTAACAAGTTTGGAATACGGCATATTACCCTCGAGTGAAAAATTTGTCACACAAGCCGAGTTTGACGGTTTCACGAGAGCGAAATATGCAATTCCAAATGTGTTTCAGACTATACTTTTTCTACGTTTCCAAAAAATAGCATAAAAAAATAATTTAATTGGGAGAAAGTGAGGTTGGATCGGTTTTTAGATAATAAACGTAGAGATGGCGCCACCAGTGTTTATTTCGTCTTCCGATGATTGGTAAAGTACAGAAAATTCAACTTCCTGCAAAATTTAACGGCGTTTGTTCTCTTGATTTATGTTTATTATTAATTTTTTTTGTGTTGTACTTTTTACAATTTTATCATTTTTTGTTACATTTCTCTTAATAAATATTCAATTTATGTTAAAATTATTATGTTATTGTTTTTATTTTTAATATATATTTTTCTATTACCTGTGTTTTTTTACTAAAAATTACACATAAATTTAAATCTAGCGAAATTTTATCATCATCTACCGAAAATTTCCAAGGAATCTACCGATAAGAGGTTGGCAACATGCTTATATATAACGTTGCCAAATTTGAACAAAATCGTTTATTTTAACTTTTTGTTTTTGATGTGGAATCTGGCGCATATTTTTGAAACGCCCTGTATAACTAGCCACGGTTTGCGGTATAGGTACAGTGTAAAATTTGATGTCCTTGTTTCTAGTATACCGTTTACCAATTAATTAATGCAATAAATAGCCCTGTTTGGTTTTCAATTTAAAAACTATATTATATAAAATACATAAAATAAAATCTTCCAGTAAAATACTTTTTTTTTTGTTAAAAAGGCTGAACGTTCCGCCGAAATCCTCAATTCATCACAGTTCAGAATAATTTGCGTGTTATGTCGCGCATTACACTTATTAACACTCGTTAAAAATAAAAATAAACTATACAAGCCGTGTTAGTGGCGGGCAATCACGATAAGGAATCCTAGAGGAGGGCCCACTGCATCGAGACGGGGTGATTGCTGCTCTCGATGGCCCTCGCAATCTCCTCGTGGATGCTGTGCTTCAGCCACAGGGTCTGCAGCTTCTGGTAGCGCTCGTGGCAGAGCCTCAACGGATTGCCTCGGCGTAATCCTTGATCGGTCTCGCCGTAGTCGTCCAAATACGGCGACGAGACTAAACAGCCTCTCAGAGGGGACGCGAGGAACAGTATCTCGCACTCGCGGACCCTGAGGAAGATGCCGACGCCGGCGCCGCATTTGTGCGCGTGGTAGTTGCACGCGCCCACGTTGGTCTTCTGCACCTCCGTCTGGCAGCAGTAGCTCTGCGAGCAGAGCAACTCCCCGCAAACCAAGCACATCGTGGGGTTTCGCGAATCCTCCTCGCTGTTCGGGCACACGAACGAGGAGACCATGTTGATTAGCTCGCTGTAATCCGGCGGGAGTTCGATTAATCTGTTGATGGGGAGCGGCTCGTGCACCACCTGCAGAGGGGTGCCGCTGAGGTACAGCTGCACCTCCTCGTGGTGGCACCACTTCGCCGCCAAACTCATCACTTCGTGCGACGAGAAAATCTCCCACGTTTGCTGCGGTAACGCCAGATAATCGCACATGTGCGCGAAGGTGGCGCCGTTTTGTTCTGTAAGCTCCCGCGGGGGAGCAACGTCCGTTAAATAATGGTAGAAAAGGACGCAACAACGCAAGAACGGCAAACAAGCGTACTGCACTTGGTTCCATATAGAGGCGAGCGAGAGATTCTCCGGGGTTTTATTCATCAGCAGTAGAACCTCGTTCAACCCCGTATAATCGCCGTCAACTTCCGACTCGTCGGTGTCCATCGAATCGTCCAGCAACTCCAAGTCCAACAAGATCAAAATTTTGACGATGTGGCTCGCGAAAATCAACCGCAACGTGTGCATTTCCAGCGTACCCCCCGTCGGCGACGGCGTCGGTAGCTGCTTGCTGGACAAGCTCGGCAAAGAATAGGTGAGAGACACCAAAAACCCCAAGGAATCCCACTGGAGAATCGAGGGGCCTTCGTTGCCGTGCTCGAAAAGAATCGAAAGAAGCACCAAGCAATGACTGCTGATTACGACGCCTTTGGGCGGCAGGGTGCCGCCCAAAACCCCCACGAGCCGCACCAAGTTCTCCAAGCAATCCCGCTGCCTGCTCGACAAATGGCCCAGCAGCGGTTTCTGGGAATCCCTTAAAAGCACTTCCACCGAATGAATAGTATACGCGAGCGATTTCCAGGCCATCGGGGCCAAACGACTGTCCGAGGGATGCGGGTGCACGTTCAAGCCTTTGGTGTAAGTGGCCTGCGTGAATAACCGAATCATCTCCTGTATGTCTGTATCGAGCTCCAACACGGCTGTATTGGCGAACAACTGCACGAAATCCTTCGGCAAGGCGTCCGAATTAGAATCGAAACTATCGACCGGGCAAGATAAATACACTTGGTACGGCTGAAAGGTGCAATTCGCCTCGCACTCCGGCGACACATCGGGTTCTAAACTCGTGCCGTTAGTGGCGTTGTGGCAAGCCTCGCAGTGAATATTCTTACACTCCTCCGAAACATTGCACTTGAAAATCCCGTGGCAAATCTTATTTTTCCGCTTCAACACCGCTTTAATCCCGCTTATGTACGTCTCGAACGGCACTCTACTCTTAATAACGTCGGGTTGCACGACGCTCAACGCCGGCACCAGCGGTAATATAGTATTACTCAAACACTCGCACAGCGGGCAGAGAAACTCCTGCTTCTCCACGTCGAAGCTGGCGTGGCTCGCGTGGCGCAATCTGTGGCGGCGATTCTCGCGCAGCATTATATTCTCGAAGTACTTGCGCCAGCAGTCGCCGTGCATCACGTGCCCGCACGTGCTGGTGTGCGGCGCGGGGCCCAGATTAGCGTGCAGGAAAAGCGGGTCGTGCTTGGTCACGTCCATCAGGTAGTCGTTGTTTTTGTGCTGACACAGCACCGTGGCCTGCTGCACGAACGCGGCCAAAACCAGCGTGGGCCCGTCCGGGCGCACCTTGGCCTCCTCCTGGCATAAAATGCACGTGTGGCTTAGATCGGAAGCCGCCCGACTCGACTGCGAAGGCCCCAAAGCCACCGGTTTTTTGTCGCATTCCGACACCTCCATCGCCGGATCGATGCAAGTAGCGCTGGTCTACAAATAAAAAAAATACACTTTGGTGTATTTTCCTTGTAAAGGGTGGCCCATCTACCGGTATCTTTTTTAATCGTATCGTTTTCTTTGAAACAATTTTAATAAGTAATAATAAGAGTTTTGAAAGTATAAACATTATTTATGATGATATCTTCGTTAATTTAGAAAATTTTTGGGACAAACAAAAACTACTTCGTGAAGAAATGTTCGCCTAATAATTTGATGAAACAAAATCAAAAATTGGTGATCGCCTTTTGACCACAGATAACACCAAAGTTACAGGTTATTTTTTTCGTGTTATTATTATTAAAGAATCGTTTATTGATGTGAGACAAAAGTATTTTATGCAGAAATGTTTCCTTGATAATTTAGTTAAAGAAAATCATAAATTGTTAATCGCATTTTGACTCCAGATGACACCAAAGTTTTAAATCTTAAAAAAAAAATTACCATTTATCTTTATTAATTTAGAAGATTTTTGGGACAAACAAAAAGTATTTTGTGAAGAAATGTTCGCTTAATAATTTGGTAAAACAAAATCAAAAATTGTTAATCCCATTTTCACTACAGATGACACTATAGACACTATAAACACCACAGTTTTAAATGTTAAAAAAATGTTTTCCTTTTTTTCTTACATAAATGATGATATGTTTGTTAATTTAAAAAGTATTTAGTGATAATTTGGTGAAACAAAATCAAAAATTGGTGATCGCATTTTGAGCACACATGATACCAAAGTTACAGGTTATTTTATGAAGAAAAGTTTTCTTGATAATTTAGTGAAAAAAATCATAAACTTGATATAACAACTACTGACACCAAAGTAAATATTTTTAAATCTAAAAAAAAAAATTGTGCTTAAATAATAATAAATGATGATATCTTTGTAAATTTAGAAGCGTTTTGGGACAAACAACAATTATTTAGTAAAAAAATGTTCGCCTAATAATTTGGTGAATCAAAATAAAAAATTGGTGATCGCATTTTAACTACAGATAAAACCAAAGTTACAGGGTTTTAAAAATGTATGTTTATATATTTCAATATGACAGTATCTTTGTTAATTTAAAAGATTTTTGGGACAAATAAAAATTATTTAGTGAAGAAATGTTTGCCTAATAATTTGGTGAAACAAAATAAAAAATTGGCGATCACATTTTGACCACAGATGACACCAAAGTTACAGGTTATTTTTTCGTGTTATATTTTATTAAATAATCGTTTATATATTGAAATATGACTATACCTTTGTTAATTTAGAAGCTTTTTGAGAGAAACAAAAAGTATTTTGTGCATAAATGATTCAAAACTCTTATTTTTACTTATTAAAACTTTTTCAGTGAAAAATGTCCACAATGGAGGGCATCAAATTAGAAAGGCATATGAGTTAAAATGAAAATTCTAAAAATGTTATTTAGATTTAACGCCTTTTGGGTTTTTTAAAATCGATGTTATGCGAATCCTGTTAAATATTAAACTAGCCATTCAGGTAATAAAAGCCATAATCACCAAAAATGCAGTAATATGAAAGAAATTGTATTACATAAATAAACTTGTTTATTTCGTAGTATTTTTAAAGATACCGAATTTTGGACCACCGTTTACATTTTAGCCGCTGAAATAAAAAACCGTAATAATTTGTTCTGCTTGGATATGAATTTTTCAAAAAGAACGAAACCCCATTTATAAAAAATAGTTCTACTTACAGCATTACTGCTGGCGGCTTCCATGTTGTTCTCCTTGAACAATTTGGCGTTTTCCTTCATGAAATTGTTCTGCGCAGCCGTCATCTGCGCCATCAACTTCGCCCTTCTTTCGGCTGCAAGCTTGGCGCGCCTTTCCTTCTCCCCATCAGCTGCAGCTACGGGAAGACCATCGGTGGACTTGCCGGCTGCGCTGTCTTCGCTCGTGGAAAGCTTCGCGACCTCCTTGAACTTGTTGATCGTCCACTTGAGCAGGTCTTTGTGCGCGTCCACTCTCCTGCAGTTAAGCAGCTCCTCCAGCAAAGCGAAAATCTTGAACTTGTGCGAGTTTTCCACGAATCTGAAGTACTCGTAGTGCTGGCTCTGCTCCTCGTGCAACGCGTATCCTATCAGGTGCAGCACCTTGTGCAGCTGACTCTCCGAGAAGCTTCGCGCCCGCAAGTCGATGCAACGCTTCAAGACGGTTTCCATCAAGTACAACATGACGTCGCACTGCAGCAGGTTGGCCAACATAATGAAGGGCGGGCGTAATTTGAGGAGTTTGGGCGGGGGGCAGCATTCCAATTGGCCGGCCGCTTTGCGTCGCGTACGCTGCGACTCTTCGGATTTTGACAGCTCTTCCCTGAACAAAAATATTATTTACCATTTTTGCTTACAAAAATGATGATATCTTTGTTAATCCAGAAGATTTTTGGAACTAACAAATAGGATTTTGTGAAGAAATGTTTGTTTAATAATTTGGTGAAACAAAATCAAAAATTGGTGATCGCATTTTGACCGCAGATGATACCAAAGTTACAGGTTTTTTTCGTGTTAAATTTTATTAAATTTTTAAATATGACGATATATTTTTTAATTTAAAAGGTTTTTGAGTCAAACAAAAAGCATTTTGTGCAGGAATGTTTTCTTCATAATTTAGTGAAACAAAATCACAAATTGGTGATCGAATTTTGACCGCAGATGACACCAAAGTTACAAGTTTTTTGTGTTACATTTTATTAAATGTATGTTTTTATATTTTAATATGACGATATCTTTGTAAATTTAGAAGATTTTTGAGTCAAACAATAAGCATTTTGTGCAGAAATGTTTCCTTAATAATTATGTGAAAGAAAATCATAAATTAGTGATTGGATTTTTACTACAGATGATAACAAAATTAATTTTTTCAATCTTAAAAAAATTAATATAAATTTACCATTTTTGCTTACAAAAATTATGATATACATATATCACCACCTGAGAATTAGATTGTTTTGAATTAGATTGTTCTATCTCCCAAAATTTAAAGAGGAAAAATAGCAGTTTAAAGTTTAATTTATATACAAATGAAATTTTAAAAAGCTGTTTTTCCGTGTTTAGGTTTTGAGAGATTCTATCTTTCAAAAATCTGACACGGAAAAACAGCTTTTTAAAATTTCATTTGTATATAAATTTAACTTTAAACTGCTATTTGTTCCTTTTTAAATTTTGGGAGATAGAACAATCTAATTCTCAGGTGACGATATGTTAATTTAGAAGATTTTTGGGACAAACAAAAAGTATTTTGTGAAGAAATGTTCGCTTAATAATTTGGTGAAGCAAAATTAAATCTTGGTGATTGTATTTTAACCACAGATGAAACCAAAGTTACAAGTTTTTTTGTGTGTTACATTTTGTTAAATTTATGTTTTTATATTTAAATATGACGATATCTTTGTAAATTTAGAAGATTTTTGAGTCAAACAATAAGCATTTTGTGCAGAAATGTTTCCTTAATAATTATGCGAAAGAAAATCATAAATTGGTGATTGCATTTTGACTACAGATGACAGCAAAGTAATTTTTTAAATCTTAAAAAAAATATTATTTACCAATTTTGCTTAAAAACATTATATCTTTGTTAATTTAAAAGATTTTTGGGACATACAAAAAGTATTTTGAGAAGAAATGTTGCTTAATAATTTGGTAAAACAAAATCAAAAATTGGTGATCGCATTCTGACCACAGATGACACCAAAGTTAAATTTTATTAAATTTATGTTTATATATTTAAATATGACTTATATCTTCGTTAATTTAGAAGATTTTGGAGTCAAACAAAAAGTATTTTGTACAAAACTGTTCGCTTAATAATTTGGTGAAACCAAATTAAAAATTGGTGATCGCGTTTTAAGCACAGATAACAACAAAGTTTGTTTTTAATCTTACCTTGTATAGTGATAGAAAAATATGTTGTACTGCTCGAAATAGTCGGGCTTCAACTCGTAGGTGCCACTTCCGGTCCCGGACTTCTTAAAAGTGGCGACTTGCTGCATCAACTCGTCCGGAGCGGTATCGTGGCACAAATCCTCCGGTATCGACTTAATAAGCTCCGAATGCGGCAAAGGGCGTATGCACAGATGTTGTATCAACTCTTTCTTGATTCTCTCCTCGACGGTGACGTCGGCTATACCCGGAACAAATCGTTCGCCGATTATTATTATCAGCAGGTGCAGCATTTCTTCGACTAGATTGATGGTTTGACGCACGCTGTCCTCTTCGGGGGCCTTAAGGCTTTTCTCCTCGAAGTTCGGCATGGCCCAGTTGATCAGGTTGCACTTGTTCAAGACGTGGATCAGGAACTCGTTGCTCTCTATGAGAGAAGCGCCCACTTGCAGGAGGTTTATGTCGCGATCCAGCATTTCGGTGCGACATCTCACGTTGTGGTAGAAAAATAAGGTGTTCAGTAGAGCGTAACCGTTCCTCCTCCACATGCCGGCGTGCACCTGCGCGATCATGACCTGCGCGCGCAGTACCGGCTCTATGATCTGCACCGGGCTGGGTTTGGGCACTTGAAACTCGACCTTGGTGTGCAAATTGAACTTCTCGATGTACACGTACAGCCCGGCCAGGAACCTCGACAGGGGTAGGTGTATCGACACGGGTTTTGTTGCCACGTCGTAATGTAAACAGGCAGTGCCGTGATCGGCCAGTTCTCGCACTTTTCCGGCTTCGTTCGGGTCGTAGCACGGACTTTCCTCCAGCTTTTTTAGGGTAGCCCGGTACGCTTTTACGAGCACCACTTCGTCGGTGGCGCACCACTGCAGCACCAGCGATATGCAGTGCGACAACTTTATGTGCAAGTTAAAGCCCGTTTCCCACTCGGGCTCGTATTCCATGTGTTGGCCCACTTGACGCGTCGCTGCGTCCATACCTACCATGACAATTTTTTAATAAACATCACAATAAGGATTGTTCTACTATACTTAGTTTAAATAAACTTTTTGTCCGCCTTTTGCTGACCAGCAACTTTTTTAGGGAGATATTGTAAAAAAACTTTTTTTTCAATATGCAAACATTCCAATTCGTGTAAAGTTCTTTTTTTATCTGGACTGCGGCAACGTTGCAAATTTAGGGGTTTGGTTGGTAAATATGGAACCAAAATTGGTTACATTGATTAAAACAAACTAAAGTTCATTTTTTTTTATCTGGACTGTGGCAACGTTGCAAATTTAGGGTTTTGGTTGGTAAATACAGTTGTCAAGTTGGTCGCATTGATTAAAACAAACTAAGCTAGTTATAAATCTAATTGTGGTTATGTATAAATTATTGTAGGTTACATTGTATAGTTGTCAAGTTGAGTTGTCGAAATTCGTAGTTTAAAATGCAATTAATTTGGTTTTGGTCGTGCTTGGATGAGTAAAATCATATAAAAAAGTAGTTAAATATAGGTTGCTTTACGGCCCAGAAGAGAAAGTATTCCCAGCGGATAATAATCTTCGCTTTGAAAAGAATTTATATAAAAGAAATTAAAATTTGTTGTGAACGTAAATGTTGTCCAATGGTGAATACTGTGAAAATAATGTGTGATGTAATATTTATAAAACCAAATTCGTTACTTTTTTACTCCAAAAATGTCCATAAGGCGATGTACTTTTTCTTCCATTATGACATTTGGCATAATTTTATCAAAATGCAGTTTTGCCATCAAAAGGGCTTTTACATTCGAATTCGTTGCTATTATTTTTGGCATAATTATCTTTTTATTTATAATTGACAAGTAAATTATCAATAATAAATATTATTGTCAATTTGACAGTGTCAAAGTATTTAATTAAATTCTTTAGCAGAAGTACCATTTTTAAATACTAAAAATACCAAGTCAAACTGGCATAAGCCACCAACCTAACAAAAAAACACCAGTCCAGATAAAAAAAAATTTAACTGTAGTTACAAATGAAATTATAATGTAATTGTGGTTATGTTTAAATTATTGTAAGTTGAGTCAAGTTGAGTTGTCAAAATTCCTAGTTAAAAATACAATTAATTTGGCTTTGGTGGTGTGTAGATGAGTAAAATCATATAAAAAGTAGTAAAATATAGGTGACTATGGCCCAGGAGAGACAAAGTATTCCTAGCGCTTTGAAAAGAATTAATATAAAAGAAATCAAAATTTTATGTAAATGGTGAATGGGCATTTTGTTAAAGCCACTGGACGCTAATACTTGCAGTGGCTTAATAATAATTTTAATGTATATTGTCCAGGACTATTAATGATCAGTAACTTGCAAATTAAAAAAAGAAAAAGTTTTGTGATTATTCTTCAGCAGTCGTCCGTATATTCGGACGATTAATATATTTTATTCATCCGATGATCGGACGATTAGACAAGTCGAAAGGCCGTTGCTAGTCGTCCGTATAATCGGACGAATAAAATATATTAATCGTCCGGTAATAACATAAATAAATAATAAAAAGATTATCGGACTCAAACTCAACAACACAACCCAACCGACCCCGCCCCATTGCCCCCCCCCGCCCCATTGAACAAAAAACCCAACTAAAATGGGCAAATTTATGTTACGATAAAAATAAAACACTTTTTAACAAAGCAACAACAAATTTATGAAATAAAAAAAGTTCGACAACTTCTAGTAGATTTTATGTTACGATAAAACTAAAACAAACCAACCAACCCAACCCAACTGAACACTGTTTAACAAAGAAACAACAAATTTATGAAATAAAAAAATAAAAAAAATTTGACAGCTTCTTAGTATCGAACCCGGGACCTCTCGCATGACAAGCGAACGCCCTACCATATAAGCTATCTAGCTTGTTGTCAAATATTAAACGGTCGGTGAACAAAAGCGAATTATAATTATGACGTAACTAACGTTATGTTATTACCGGACGAATAATATATATTAGTCGTCCGTATGTTCGGACGATTAATATATTTTATTCATCCGATGATCGGACGATTAGACAAGTCGTTTTTAAAAAGTAAAAATATTAAATCAAACTGGCATAAGCTATCAACTTAATAAAAAAACACGAGTCCAAATTAAAAAAATTAAAAATAAATATTTGTTAATCAAATGCTTTAACCAAGGATCATTGTTAATGAAGCTATAAGTCCTAATTCAACAAAAAAATTAATTATACACATTCATAAAGTAGCTCCCTCGAAAAATTCTATTTTTAACCATATAAAATTGATTTTCAGTTCAAAGTTTAAAGTACTGTTACGTGAACAATTTTTGTCCGATTTTATTGAAATTTAAAATGTTTGCAGCCTCATGTATTAACTTTATTGTGTTAAAATTTTAACTCGAACAAATAAAAATTGCCAAAATGGCACTCATAACTACCGCTCGTCTAAAAATTTATATTTATTATGAGTTTCGCTTCTAACGTTTGTACGACTTCTTAAATAAATTACTACTGGAACTATGTGGTTTTAAAACAAAAAAACAATGACAATGTTTTACAAAATGTTTAAAAATATAAACATGCATGAGTCACTACTAAAATAAATGTAAACAAGAGCTAATTTAGTAATATAATGGTCATTTTTGAAATCAGCTCATCAAAATTACCCTAAAAAAGTTGCTGGTCACCCAAAGGCAGCAAAATAGCTGTTGATTACAACTACAATTAATTATAATTATTTTAAATTGCACTAATTATTATTTTTTTTATTTATTAAGATATTAAATATAAACATAAATTTTATATAACCAAACATATTTGATAGAATGTAATTTGTGGTTTTAAAACCATGTGTATGAACTAATTAAATTGATATAATAAGATCTGATTAAACACCTAATACGATTTATGGAATATTTTAAATAAAAATAACTTGTCTAAATATATTTTTTGAGTACCATGGTTGAATTAATTTATTTATTGATAGTTTTAAATAATTACAATTAATTATAATTATTTTAAATTGCACTAATTATTATTTTTGTATCTTATCTTATTTATATAAACAAACATGTCTGATAAGAATACGAGCCCTAACCACATAATGTTCAGACACTTCATAATTTATACAGAAATTTTTTTCGTGAATACTATCTCAAAATTATTAGAAGTTATGAAAAATTCAGCTTATTTTGGCATATACCCCTCGAAGCGATTTTTATTTTTAAAAAGTTTACCTTTTATTTTTAGCTTTTAAAAAAAGGCTAACTTTTTAACTTTTTTTTGCATGAGTAAAAAAAGTTATAAATGGGCCCATTAAAAAGAGCATAAAATATTATACAAACCCTGAAAATTTGGTAAAAAATAAATAAGTTATAAAAAAGTATAAGTAATTTAAAAATGCTATTTTTAAAGAGTTTTTGCAATTTTCTTAGGAAACGGGAGATTTTGCAGATATATATATCGCTATAACTTTCTTATTATTTATACAATTTTTACCAAATTTTCAGGGTTTGTATAATATTTTATGTTCTTTTTAATGGGCCCATTTATAACTTTTTTTACTCATGCAAAAAAAAGTTAAAAAGTTAGCCTTTTTTTAAAAGCTAAAAATAAAAGGTAAACTTTTTAAAAATAAAAATCGCTTCGAGGGGTATATGCCAAAATAAGCTGAATTTTTCATAACTTCTAATAATTTTGAGATAGTATTCACGAAAAAAATTTCTGTATAAATTATGAAGTGTCCGAACATTATGTGGTTAGGGCTCGTATAAGTTGTGGTTTTAATGTTTTATTTATAATTCACCAGAAATTACTATAATATTATGTTTACCATAAAAATTGTAAAATTGAAACGTTACAACAAATTTTAAGATAAAAATTTCCAATTGAAAAAACATGACATTGACCGAATTCCAATCGAATTTTAACGATAAAAAATTATGTTAGTTTTTGATATATTTACAATTTAAAAATGATATCTTTTTAATATAGAAGATTTAAAAAAAAAAACAAAAATTATTTAGTGAAGAAATGTTCGCTGAATAATTTGGTGAAAGAAAATCACAAATTGGTGATCACAGATAATACCTTTTTTGTGTTACATTGTATCTGTTTAAATATGAAGATATCTTTGTTAATTAAGAAGATTTTTGAGTCGAACAAAAAGAATTTCGTGAATAAATGTTCCCGTGATAATTTGGTGAAATAAAATCATAAATTGGTGATCGAATTTTGAACGCAGATGACGACAAAGTTGTAAAATTATATTTTCGTGAAAAATTACCTTGCATCATGGCCAATAAGTTTAGTAGCATGCTCAGACCATGTAGAAACCTCTTCTTCAACTCGTCAGTCCACACTTCCGGGATGGAACTCAACAGGTATCGTAGATCGAATAGGGTGTAGAGAGCTCGCTTAAAACTGGGGTTGGGGACGTGTGGCGCCCTCTCGAACTCCAATTTCCCGTTTTTGTTGCACTTTCTGCCGCACTCGGACATAAGCGTGTTCATGAGGATGTAAAAAACGTCCTCGTGTTCGATCAGGTGGTGAGCTAAAGTGGGCACGGTGAAAAGTTGCACGGACATCGAGGAAATGCTGAAAGCGTGGTCGTGGTCGTCCTTGATGAAGTCCTTCACGACTTGCCCGTAGTTTTTCGTGAAAATTTTCGCGAAGGCTTTTTTGTTCTCGTACTCTAGCAGCATTCCGGATATCAGCAAGCGATGCCAGTGCGAGCGAGCGTTTTTCCAGAGCACGGCGTCCCGTTCGAGGATGCCTTTGAGAAGGCAGGGCTCATTCGGTTGCGGTTTCAATATGACCTCGGCGAACACGGCTCGGAACTCTTTACCGTGCCCCAGGAACGTCTGCAGCCAAGTTAACACCTTCAAGGCGAACATTTGCCTGCCGATTATGTGGGTGTGATTCACCAAGACCTTCAAGGGTTTGCTGCCGTGGCGAGAAGTGTACTTCTCGATTTCGTCCTTCAAATCGCAACAGTTTTGAAAGCTGGCGCATTTCACGATGCTCCTGCCCTCTCTGTCGATGTTCGTAACATACTCTATGGCTACGCGTTGCGTGCACTTCAAAACTCTCGTGAGCGTTGTGATGACCTGCTCGAAAGTGTGCACTTCGTCGTTGTACAGTATGGTGCAGTAATTGTCGATGGAATAAAAATCCTCGCTGCTGCTGCCGAGACGGATGTCGGATATCAAATCCGTGTTGAGCAGTCGGAAGGCGTACCACAAAACCGCGTCGAACACCGCCCTGGTTCTGCCCAAAACGTCCCCCGGCAAACGATCCTCCTCGTCCTGATCGACCGAGTGTTTCTGGCAGAAAGGGTCCTTTTTCCACGCCTCAGTGTCCCCGCAGTCGCAACACCCCCCGCCCCCGGACTGCCCCATGCGGTACTTATGGTAACGATGCGCGGAATTCTTGAAACAATCCACGCAAAGAACGCAAGTGCCATCCATACCTGGAGATTTAAAAAAACCGAGTTCTCTTCAGATTTGAAAAAAAGGACTTTTTCCATTTTGTTTTCAAAACCACTACAATAATTGAAGCTATTAACGCAAGAAGGTTTTAACGAGCATTTTTGTTAATTTTTATCAATGTTTTTATGTTTAAATTTGACGATATCTTTTTAAATTAAGAAAATTTTTGGGTCAAACAAAAAGTATTTTGAGAAGAAATATTTCCTTGTTAATTTGGTGAAAGAAAATCATAAATTGTTGATCGCCTATTTTCAACAAAAGTTACAATTTTTTTTCGTTTTACATTTTATTTAATATAATATATTTTTTGTCTAAAGTAACAAAGATATCGTCATATTTAATCACATAAAAATATACATATGTAAATTATATATGTTTATGTGATTAAATATGACGATATCTTTGAGTCAAACAAAAAGTATTTTGAGAAGAAATATTTCCTTGATATTTTGGTGAAAGAAAATCATAAATTGGTGATCAAAAAAGTTACAATTTTGTTTTTGTACTACATTTCATTTAATACCTATATGTTTATGAGTTTAAATATGACGATATCTATGTTAATTTAGAAGATTTTTGAGTCAAACAAAAAGCATTTTGTAAAGAAATGTTTCCTTCATAAATTAGTGAAAAAAATCATAAATTGGTGATCCCATTTTGACCACAGGTGACTCTAAAGTAACAACTTATTTTTTGTATTACATTTATGTAGTGTTTAATTTGTGGGTTTTGGTGGGTTAACACCTTCTTGCATTAATAGCTTCAATTCATAATAAAGAAAAAAATTAACATTCATATTTTAGAAAATTTAGTATTATGTGAAATTTTGAAAAGACTTAATTAATAATAAAGTGAAAAAAATAAAAAAACGGATACATACCACACTCCCGGCAACTGTATGTGGGCTCCCCCATCTTGAAAACCCTCCCACACACACTTTGAGCCTTCTCCGCGTTCAACAGCTTGCTCAGAACCTCTGAAGGCACTCCATCGAAAATAAACTCCTCCAGGGGGCTTATCAACACTTTCTGTATGGCCTCATCACTGTAGCTCCATGATAAGTGGGTTTCGTACACTGATGGGCTTATTATTTTTGACACCCATTGCTTCCAGAACTCCTCAAAGTGGGCTTTTGATAGAGTACCTTCATGCAGTTTTTCTGCCCACGAGGATATCACAGCCTTCGAGTCAAATGAGTCGTCGAATGTCATGCTTTCATCTTGCACTTCCTCAATGATTTCAATCTCCTCTATTATGTCTTCGTCCATGTCTTCATGTGTCTTGCTGTAAAATAAATAAATATAAACAATTGGGCTGATGAGTTTGCATTTGTGGTTTATTTATAGCAATTTCAAGGAAGTACAATATTTCAACACAAAGAAATGTTTCCTTGCCAAGGTTAATCAACTACACACTTATTACAAGGTAATTTGTACCTTGTTAAAATAACGTACCTTTCAGTGTTTATAAAAATTAAAATTAAGACGTATTTTCTCGCCTGAAACTTCCGTAACGTTAGATCCTGGTCATTTGCCAATTACAAATGACAAAACTCAATATTCCCCACTGTTTTTTTTTTTCAATAAACGTCACCCTCAATCAACTCGTTCAGCAATCAAAACTTTTCAACAAACAATTTAACACAAGTTCGGAAGACTGTTCAGAACAATAATAAAGTCCACATATTGCTTAGAAGTTGGAACACATTATTTTGGCAAAATTTCAGGGCACCAACTGTATTATCGATATCACAAGTGCTCTACAGAGAACAAAATCACCTGTTTCGAGAGAAATTTCAGAAACACTCCAGTTTACGAGGATTCAATCACAGAAATTTCTGCGGATTTATTGCGATAGTAGAGAAACCCTCTGACAGATGACGTTAGGTTGACGTTTAAAAATAAAAACAGCGTTGCCGGGTTGTACGAAAAGTTGACAGATTTTCATACTAAAGCTTGATTTATAGATTGCCTTCCTTCCTTCCTCCCTTCCTCACGTAAAAGATGAACAATACAATAACCGTTGTGCTGTTTATAGATGACACTACGATTTTCGTATTGTTCATCTTTTACGGGAGGAAGGAACGAAGGCAATCTATAAATCAGGCTTAAATGAAAAATATTTTCATAAAAAACTTTTAAGTACAATAGTGCCCATCAAAGATAATATCTTTGGTGCCCATTCAATATTAGAGTTTAAAACATCACAGAAATTTCTGCGGATTCAACATGATAGTAAAAAGAGAGTCCGACAGATGACGCTAGTACAACGTTAAAAATAAAAACAGCGTTGCCGGGTTGTACGAAAAGTTGCCAGATTTTCGTAATAAAGAACATCTGATTGTTGTAAAGTGTGTGGAACTTATGCAGGCACTTTAAATTAGTGTCAATTTGTTCGGCTAGCAATATTGATTAAGTTTACAAGAAAAAAATGTTTTAAAAGAAAAAGTTATTTGTCATTAAAAATGTTTTTAATGTTAGTAGAGTTAATTTTTTTTTAGGTTAACCTAAAAAGATAATTATCTTTGATTTTTAAAAGAAAAAGTTATTTGTCATTAAAAATGTTTTTAATGTTAGTAGAGTTAATTTTTTTTAGGTTATCTTTGATTTTTTAAATAAGAGTATTTCTTAAAATCATTAAATTAAATATTTTGAGAAGTTCTACTTACCATCTAGTAAATTTTTAAGACCCTGTATAAACTACAAAATTCGTGGTGCACATTTCTGCTTGCTCTTTTTTCCTGCAACGTCTGGAAAAGCGCCATCCATTTTAAACAGGCAATTTTTAGTAATAGGTCCAAATAAATCATGTGAATTTATTGTGCTCGCTGTGTTCCGCCGAAAACAAATCTGCACAAATGTCGTGTCTGGTTGTGTTAAATAAATATTGGGTTTGTCGAATTGGTTCGCCATACGCGGCTCTGTAATTGTTTTGTTTGCCGTTGCGATTTCGCTGCCGTTTCCACGTCAAAAAAAACTCGACGTTCAAACTTATACGTTTAGTAATGGGTTTCGAATTTGGCTGTTGATACCGCTCTAAATACACCGGCAGGTGAATCGGATTAGGATTCGATTGCCATACAAAGTTTCTCAATTCATTCCCGATTGCTTTTTGCAGCGCGAATTAACAAATTTCTGTTTGTTCGGAATTTCAAAAGAATTTTCACCACTAGGCATATTTACCTATTTCTTTAAATTAAAAGTTAATACGAATTTATAAATAAATAATGAATAAAATAAAACTTATATTTCCAAGAATAACGATATCTTTGCTAATATAGAAGATTTTTGAAAAAAAACAAAAAGTATTTTGAGAAGAAAAGTTCGCTTAATAAGTTGGTGAATGGTTAATATATTTTTAAATATGACGAAATATTTTTTAATTTAGAAGATTTTTGAGTCAAACAAAAAGTACTTCGTGAAGAAATGTTTGCCTAATAATTTGGTGAAATGAAATCATAAATTGGTGATCGTATTTTGACCACAGATAGCACCAAAGATGGAACTTTTTTTCGTGTTACATATGTTTATATGCTTAAATATGAAGATATCTTTGTTAATTTAGAAGATTTTTGAGTCATACATGAAGTATTTTGTTAAAAAAAATTCCTTGATAATTTAGTAAAAGAAAATCATTTTTTGGTGATCGAATTTTGACCACAGATGGCACCAAAGTTGGACTTTTTTTCGTGTTACATATGTTTAATTATGACGATATCTTTGTTAATTTAGTCAAACAAAAAATATTTTGTGAAGAAATGTTTGCTTAATAATTTGTTGAAATAAAATCATAAATTGGTGATCGCATTTTGACCACACATATCACGAAAGTTAAATTTTTTTTCACTTTATTAAATGTATAAATAAGACGATATCCTTGTTAATTTAGAAGATTTTTGAGTAAATCAAAAAATAAATTGTAAAAATGTTTTATTTATAATTTAGTGACAGAAAATTAGTCGATTGCCATCTAAAGTTTCTCTATTGCATTTGCTTGTTCGAAATTTTAAATAATTTTTTCTCACTAGGCATCAAACATGTTTAAAAAGAAGCGAGTATATTTTTTAAATTCCTAACTTTACCCCTTCACTTACTAAATAAACAAAAAGTGGCGTAAAACTTATCTAGTAAGTAAACGATTTTATTTTCAGAAAACCAAAAATTGGTTTCTTATCCGCTTCACTTCTTATTATTCGCAAACAAATCCCTTATACTTGACTAAACATTTATCCAATTATAAACTTATAATTAAAAATCAATGACTAGGTAGAATTGCTCTTTCCGAGATTTGAAACACAAAAGTTGTACTTAATTACTTTGAAATTTTTGATTAAAGAACTCATCTAGTAAAATATTGTGCATTTGGTGTAATAAAATCATAAATTAGTAATCGCATTTTGACCACAGATGACGCCAAAGTTGGAACTTTTTTTGTGTAACATTTTATTAATATATTTTTAAATATGACGAAATATTTTTAAATTTAGAAGATTTTTGAGTCAAACAAAAAGTACTTTGTGAAGAAATGTTTGCCTAATAATTTGGTGAAATAAAATCATAAATTGGTGATCGTATTTTGACCACAGATAGCACCAAAGTTGGAACTTTTTTTCGTGTTACATATGTTTATATGCTTAAATATGAAGATATCTTTGTTAATTAAAAAGATTTTTGAGTCATACATGAAGTATTTTGTTAAAAAAATTTTCCTTGATGATTTAGTACAAGAAAATCATTATTTGGTGATCGAATTTTGACCACAGATAGCACCAAAGTTGAACTTTTTTTCGTGTTACATATGTTTATATGTTTAATTATGACGATATCTTTGTTAATTTGGAAGATTTTTAGTCAAACAAAAAATATTTTGTGAAGAAATGTTTGCTTAATAATTTGTTGAAATAAAATCCTAAATTGGTGATCGCATTTTGACCACACATGTCACCAAAGTTCAATTTTTTTCACTTTATTAAACGTATAAATAAGACGATATCTTTGTTAATTTAGAAGATTCTTGAATAAATCAAAAAGTGAATTGTAAAAATGTTTTATTTATAATTAGTCGATTGCCATCAAAGTTTCTCTATTGCATTTGCTTGTTCGAAATTTCAAATAATTTTTTCTCATTAGGCATAAAACATTTTTAAAAAGAAGCGAGTATATTTTTTAAATTCCCAACTCTACCCCTTCCCAGACCGCAAAATCACATTCCCTGCACATGTCAGGAATATTCCCAGGAATATTCCAATCGTCCCAGAATATTCCCAGGAATATTCCTGGCATAATCAAATGTCCGCTTTTTGGTTAACCCAGGCATCATAAAAAGAATATTCCATAAATCTGCCTGCAGAAGACTCAAGGATTGTTAGGGGAATATTCCTTGATAAATTTGGGGATTATTCCCAGCCCTTATTGCCTCTTATACCCAGGAACTTAACTTAAGTATAGCCATTATTGAGTTACTGAGTAGATCAGTCCCACTCTAATCATTGTTTGGCTGTGCCATCACAGACGCACATCTCCAACTAATATTATTAACCTATCGGTATATATAGTTATTAAGCGTGCGTAAGCAACGGTGAGAGGTATTGCAACTAAACTAATGAATATTCACTGGGAATATTCTTAGATGATGCTTGGAAGTTTTAGAGGATCATTCTAGGAATATTCCCAATGAATATTCCTAGAATGAAGCGGATTATTCCTAGGCGATAGGGAATATTCCTGGAATATTTTCGAACCTTCATTGCAGTCTGGGTTCACTTACTAAATAAACAAAAAGTGGCGTAAAACTTATCTAGTAAGTAAACGATTTTATTTTCAGAAAACCAAAAATTGGTTTCTAATCCGCTTCACTTCTCATTATTCGCAAACAAATCCCTTATACTTGACTAAACATTTATCCAATTATAAACTTATAATTAAAAATCAATGACTAGGTAGAATTGGCAGTCTTAATTGCTCTTTCCGAGATTTGAAACACAAAAGTTGTATACTTAATTAGTTTGAAATTTTTGATTAAAGAAGTCATGTAGTGAAATATTGTGCATTTTAACATTATAATATGTTAAATGTATCCTAAACCTGCACGAATATCCGAAATCATTGTCGAATACCGTCCCCCTGAAAATGAAAATCCATCGTAGTGCAAAAGTGAAGTGGCATTTCGGGAGCTCCTCTTAATTTTACGTTCGCAGGATGCATTCACATTTTAATTCGATAACTCCGTAGGAAAATCCGAAAAATCAAATCCCACTGAAATATATTCTTCATGCTCAGATGAAGCCGCAATATCCCATTAAGTTCGAGATGTAATTCAAACGACTTCAATAACCGCAGGCTCTATGCGAATGAATACTGCGACGATAGAAAAATCTACCCATATAGATACGATTTTGAAAATATGTACGAGGTGTGTTAAGAAAATATCGGGAATTTTCGTTTTTTGAAACAAATATTTATTTATTCGTCTACATTAATGTTGTCGCCTTCAAAATAGTCCCCATTGGATATTATGCACATGTGCCAGCTCTTCTTCCAATACTCGAAACACTTCTAAAACTCGATCTTTGGGATAGCCTTTTGTTATTACAGCGATGCGCTTTTAATGTCATCTATGCTTGCAAAACGACGGCCCTTTAAGGTTCTCTTTATTTTTGGGAATAGGAAAAAGTCAGACAGAGGCATGTCTGGCGAATATGGAGGCTGGGGCTTCATTACAGTATTGTTTTTGGCCAAAAATGTTCAAAATTTAACAATTTTAGAACAAATTTTGCTGCCACGCGTTTCATACCCAAAACATTCGAAAAAATTTCATGGGATGAGCCAATCGATATACCAACATCATCAGCGACTTCTCTGATGGTTTACAAC